AATTGAGGAAGAGGGCAGAATGTGTGCATATTATTTTGTAGCTGGAAGGAAGGATGGGGAGTTACTGTACCATCTTAGGCAGTATAACCTCGGCCAATCATTTGTGTGGCTAACCATCTAAGGTTAACAGTATAGGTAGATCCAAGTACATTTGAAAATTAAGTCACATATTATTTCATATTACCTGTAAAAAATTAAGAATGGTAAAATGTCCTAAAATACTGGGTGTTAAGTGTAGGGAAGTGAATAAGCATATAGAAGAAAGAAGAATAGGAAACCAAGAAGAGATCAATAAATGGGTATGGCCCTATCAGTTATCTGAAAGCAGGAGAAGATAATACAATAGAGTCATTAAGCCAGGGTAAACCTAAAAATATCAGGCTAAAATGTGCAGAAACTTAAAAATAAACATAGAAGATTTTAAAGCAAAATTCATCAAAAAGAACTATGGAAGTTAATGTTACTACAAATTTTCTAGAAAAATGGAAATTTGCTTTTGAAAGTGGCAAATAAATTAGTTTGTTTGGGTTTATAAATTATAGTACCTTTCCAAAACCCAAAACTAAACCCATTGCCATTCAGTCGATTCCGACTCATAGCGACCATATTATAGGACAGAATAGAACTGCCCCATGGGGTTTCCAAGGAGTGGCTAGTGGATTTGCCCTCCTGACCTCTTGGTTAACAGCCTGAGCTCTTAACCATTTCTCCACCAGGGCTCCCGTACCTATGTAGTAGGTGCTTATTATATTCTTATGTGCCTGGTTGAAGCAGTAAGTCTTTTAAAAAATGTAGATAGATTTTTTTTTTTCTGCCTAATGGCATCAATATTAGCCCCTAAATAACAATAAAAATAACTTATTGTTTGCTTTTTTTTACTCTAAACTCTTGATTTATATGTTATAACTATTTCAGCCATATTTGTGGGCATATGTGCATTTATGAAGCAAGTTCCTGTCATAACCTTTCTTTTGTGATAATAACAGTGTAAATCACAAAATTAAAAAACGGCAAAAAAACAACTATGCCTTGAAGTTCTTTCTGTGTAACACAGGACATTGGAAATTTAAAAATGCTCATGGATACTCAAGTACACACCTTATTACTTACTAGACATTAATGGATTTAATTTAATGAACTATCTCCTTTAGAAAAACAAACAGGCAACTTTTTAGATGAAGGATTACTCATCACAGTGACCTCTTTTGGGTTTGATTTTTCTCTCATCTTACATTTGTTCACACAGTGTCCTGCTAGGACACCTTTCAAGCCATGAGGGGAAGACTTCCCTGGGCACATTTGCCATGAGTCAGACTATCTTATAAAGCAGTGATTCAGATGTGTGTCAGACAAACGTCTCCCTTCCAGAACATAAAAGATGATGAAGGTAAAGTCATACATAAGGGCTCAGGGAGCATGGAAAAGACCTCTCTCCCAAGTTTTTTCTTCTGGTCACTCATTCTCTGTTTCCATAGTCAGTGCAACATGGGCATGAAATGCTTTGTTGCAACATCTCACACATGCAAAAAACGTCTATTACTTTTGAATCTGAAAGAAGTAAAATATTTTAAAAAAAATTAGTAGGATATAAAAACTCAATATATATGGGGGGATTTTGATAGGCTGTGGTGAGAGCCTATTGTGGAGGCATCTATAGTTACTTGAAGTATTATTACATTTTTTTGTTTCCTTTAGATGTTAATAGTAAGTCATATTACTCTAATAGTTTTTGTAGTAATAGTCCTACTACTAGTTTTTCATTTTACAAGGGCAGAGTCAATTTATAAAGTGGAAATAGATGTTACAAGGAATTGTTTTTGGCTTCTTCTCTCTTGAAAGAAAAGAAAAAAAAAACAAATCTCATAAATCCTGTATTTACTGCCCCTTTATAGCTATTTCTTTCACAACGGAGAGCTTTAAACATCAGGCTATCTTAGGAGGGCTGGAGGAAATCAGGAGTTATTTATAAAGTTTGCCATTCTTTATTCCTCTTCGGGTGGTGTGAGAGTATGAGAGACTAGATTAGGGGAGAGTGCATGGTATCCCTTGGTCCCTGTTGAGATGAATATAAATTGCTTCCCTTGGGAAGTACATGAACTTTTTTGGGCCACTTCAATACCTTCAGGTGAACTGAGAGCCAAGTAGTTCTAAGGCTACCTAAAGGAGAGGAAATTGATGTTTATTTTTTCTTTTTTCTCCTAAGTTTGTAGCATAAGCATCCCACAAACAACAAGCTAAAAGAAAAAAGATAAGCATGCTTGGAGAAGAAATGTCATTCCTCCTGGGTTTGTATACCCTTAGAACCTAAGCAATAAATTAAATAAAATATGTGGTTTAAAAGTAAACAGGAGAGAGATATGACAGCAAATTTAATGCATTTTTTTCCTTGTCAGCTTCTCATTGCTACAGACTGAGAAAGGGGAGTTGGAAGAGAAAATTGACTTAGGTTATTTATAAGAAATATTCTAAGAAACACAGAAAGGCCAATTGATTTTGTATCTTTCCTATCTCATTAAATATTTTAACTGACATGGGGGACAGTAATTGGAAGAAATGGGAAAATGAAGAATGTATATAAGGGAAAGAATGGATTAACTTTTCTCTTTTGCTTCTACTTTTGAGCCACAATCCCTGTCAGATCTTCATCATTTGTAGAGCCTCATTGCTATTCTTGGTGTGGCTGTGATATGTTTTCACTCACATTTTTGTAGGTTTAATTTTTTCTTTTGGACTATCTAGAGGGAAAAGTTTAATATTTCTCACTTGGCTTATCTGTATGCGGACTGTATTATTTTCTCTCTTTTTAGGACTTTTAGCCTGAGGGAAAATTGCCATAAAACTTTTATATTCACTTGACAAATTAGAGATTCCAGCATCTTTCACCCTCAAAACCCACCCTCAGGGTAAAACAAATTTCAATCATTGACTGACCAAAACTTAGTGAGGTAGGAATACAGTGGAGGGAACAAAGAGAAAGAAATATTGGCAGAATAGGCGGTTATTTCCTGCCATTTCCATGGATTTCTCTCATCATAAGATTCTCCTGCCTTTTCTACAAGTGCCAGAGGTATTAATTCCCACAACCACCTGCCCCTGCTGCTTACAAAATTCTGCACCAACATACTGGGTCTAATTCCATTGCCACTTACCACCGTAGATCCCTGTGGTAGATCTCAGACTCTAATCCAAATCATGGAACCACTGGAGACAGGGTGAGGTGTAAAGGGAAAATCAATTGCTATTGGCATATCTCACACACTCTAATAGCCCAGCCTATCCCTCCTCACCAGGGTTCATCAGCCTTTTGTTAACTGGGAAAATGGGGGAAAAATGTACTCTGAAAATTCTCTACCGTCTACCCAGCTCTCCTGGCCCCTACCAAATCCCTTCTTTCATTCCTTTCTTTTTAACACCATCTCTTCACCACTCTTCTTAACTTCAAAGTTATAGTTTCTTCTTATTTAGTCTGAGTTCCGCTCCTCGTTTCTTCCTTCATCCCAGAATTCCACCCAAGACTGTGTTCTACATTTCTACTCTTTTAACGACTCATTCTTTACTCCATCTGCCATCTTAGAATCCCTAGCGCTATTATTTTTAAACCTCATTACTTTGAAATCTCTAAATCTCCAGTTCTTTTAACTGCCTTAAATGCCACACCCCTCATGTTCATAGAGTCATAATTTGCCTCTTCACCCTCTCTGCCACCAATACTCACTTAGATGGGATCCCTCCCAAGTACACAGAGGATTCTCTGTGCAGCCTTGGAGGGAGATGGAAATAGTGAAATACATTCTATTTGTCCCATTGAGATTTTTCTGACATCTTAAACTCTAACTTCAAGTATGCTATAAGGTAGAATAACAAGCATATTGAAACCTTCATAGGCTTGCATAGGAGTATTCCTACTACCTAAATATTACTTCACAGGGAAATGTATCCTGTGGTCTAAATAAAACAGATTATTTAGGGGCACAAACTGTTAAAAGACTACTGATGGATAATGAAGTAAAAAAATGTAAATGATTGTCTTGATTATACATTATATACATTTACTGTTTCCATTAAAAATTAAATGTGAAATATAATAGAGAGGAATATATAAGAGATTTTGCTTTTATAAAAATAAGAAGAAAAACATTTCTTCTGGTGTTAGAACAATGCACTTATCTCTGCTCATAATAGCATTATCTGTTTCACATGTTAATTTTCATTTTTAATGAAGAAAACAGTGAAACAATTATAATTGCAAATTGTAAATAAAACATTTATTCTAATCATCATTTAAACACAAATAAGGATGCAATTTAAAGACAATTAAATATAATAAGAGCAGTACATTATGAAATACAAATGACATACACACCTTTGAGTAAAATTTGCATGTTAACATTTTAACCGTTTACAATTGATATAATTTCTATCTATAATTAAAGAGACTTTTTAAAATATCAACACTAGTAAAAATAACATAATCCAAGAGCCCTTCATTTTGTACGTTAACATAAACAACCTGTGGGAATTTGAATTTGGAATAAAAATCTCACCTAAGTTAATGTAACATACATAGCATGCCATGCACCTGTTCCCAACATACTGCTGGAAAGCAGTGTATCATAATGAATGTGTAAGCAACTGAGAAAGAAATGTATGATTAAGAATAAGCTATTCCATATAAAGTGTATATAATGACAGTAGCATATTTAAGCTGATTTTTATCTAAGTATAACAAGGAATTGGAAAGCCAAACTTTCGTAAGTATAGACTCAAGCAATACCTCATTCATATGTTCCTTGGCACGAGGCATCCATATTTCTCATACCAAATGTTAGTGATATGGTCGTGGAAAGAAGAAAGGAGTATGACATAGCAGAGATGATTTCTACAAGTGTTCAGCTGTTTATGCTTAGAGTAAAATGCAAATGCTTAGTTATCTATCTATCAATCGATCTATCATCTATCTATCTAATCTACCTATCCATCTGTCTAATCTATTTTAGCAGAGAATGTTCCACTTCTTTTTAGCAATCAGATTGAGTTCCAGTAGGAATTCAATCAGGCATTCGCTTAGTGTTATAACATGGTGCTTTTGAAGTTGAAAGGAGGGAGAATGTTCAACAATATTCAATTTTTTTTTTTTTTTAGTGTTGGCTCAATGTTGTACTGGTAGTACTATGGTAAACAAGGCAGAATCCTACGTGCTCTAATAGAGGTTACAGTCTAGAGGGGGAGGAGATACATAAACAGACTATTGCAATGCAATGTGATAGGTACTACAGCAGAAGGAAGAATTGTGTGACAGGACAAGATACATAAGAGACATCTAACCTAAGATTGTGGATGGAATCCAGGGGTCAAGTTGACTTCCCAGAGTTAAAATGCACAACCAAACAAAATAATATGAATTAATTAAAGTACTCAAAATATGAAGGCAAGGAGACATTTCCTACCTTACCTACTCATTTATTTGCCTATCTTTCTAGTCACAACCTGTGCCGCTGTTGAGTTCCGCTGTGCAGATGGGACTTGCATTCCAAGATCAGCACGGTGCAACCAGAACATAGATTGTGCAGATGCTTCAGATGAAAAGAACTGCGGTAAGATATTCCACTACCTTTTGTTTGTTCATGCCTGGGCACCTTTGGCTTTGCTTTGAACCCTGTCCAACTTTTTACTGAACCTAGTCCAGAACTGATATGTAATTAACCCCTAGTGTGTAGGATAATTGCATATTTACTTCTTCAAATGAAGTCACTTTTCTTGTCTCTATGACCTACGTAGAAGGCTCATAATCTTTGCAAATTAAATATTTTTCATTTTTTTCATTTACTTCCTTCTAGATAATACAGACTGCACATATTTCTATAAACTTGGAGTGAAAACCACAGGGTTTATAAGATGTAATTCGACTTCACTCTGTGTTCTGCCAGCCTGGATATGCGATGGGTCTAATGACTGTGGAGACTATTCAGATGAATTAAAGTGCCCAGGTAATTCTAGAAAGAGAAACAATCTTTGCCTTGAATATTTAGAGACTAGTAGTGTAGCCCTGGTGGTGCAGTGGTTAAGAGCTCAGCT